ATGTGTTTTATTTTTTAATTGTACGGAATTTTTATACGGAATTATAAAATAAAATGCAAATTATAATCAGAATTATAATTATAAATTATAATCAATAAAAAAAAAAAAAGACTAATAGGCCATATGCCTAACAATAAATATGCAATAACGTGTGTCCACCAAAGCGTTTTTAGCCATCTGAAAAATGTCAGGCGCTCTTCTGAAAACGGCCAGCTGGTGGCGCTTGAGAACACTTTGGTGGCACAGCGTTTTCCAGCTGAGATGCTTTTGATGTGGAATATCCACGGCAGTAACGTAGATGTTCGTTTTACGCACCATTTACACGTGGTAAGGAGCAGGTGTACATTTCTTTCGTACCAACCTGGTACCAACATTTTGAAAATACGAAAACTTTCATGAATTTACGTCAGAACAGCGTTACGAACTTTTTACACAAATTCGTTCTGCTCGTGTTTCAGGCCCATTATATTTACATGCACTTTAAAAGCAAAATTTCAGCCCGACTACATTACATTTTATATAATTTAACTATATCAAAATAATTAATCTTTTTTAAAATGGCGTAAAGTGTAAACAAGTGTAGAGAATAAAGAAGAAAAATCAGACAGTTGTTGTTCTAACCAATTAATAGGCTGTTGGTAATGTTGCAGTCACATTAGCACATTTCTGTGCAATTTCACAAGCAAAAATCATCCGCTGTCTATTGTCAATAGCTAGGGTGACCATTTTAGTTTTCAAAAAAAGAGGACACTTAGGGCAGGATGCTGACCGTGGTGGAAGAGTGGGCAGACTGGTGGGGTTGTTAGGTTTGAGGGTGGTTAAAGTAGCCTCCAAATTAGCTCAATGAACATATCCCAAATATCAAAACTCAGAATGTCATTTCCGTACCTAAAATACATATTTTACACCATTATGCAGATTGATCATAAACACAGCTAAAAGGCTTTCACTAGCCATTCTTTACAAAAACATCTACCACAGTATTATCATGGGCAAAATGCAAAATGATTGAATACAAGCATTTCAGTCAACTGTAATTTATGCAATTGTTCTTTAACCCACGGGAGAAAATCAACCCTCCGCAACAGTTTAAAATCAGCTCAATTTCTGCAAAAAATGCGGATTTGGCAACCCTGCATCCAACACGAGCTGCATATAGTGATTTAATTAGGGTCACCATACGTCCTATTTTCCCCGGACATGTCCTCTTTTTGGACCTGCATGGTCTTGTCAGTCTCTCCTTATTCTCGACCTGAGATCAATCAAATCTGACTCCTGCAGTTCTTGTTGGATGCAGGGTTGCCAAGTCCGCGTTTTCGCCAGAATTGGGCTACTTTTAAACTGTTGCCATGGGTTGATTGTCGCAAGTGGGTTAAATGTTTGAAATATTGCATAAATTACATTTGACTGAAATGCTTGTATTGAAACATTTTGCATTCTACCTATGATACTTTCATGGACTTTTACATTAAAAGTTCCCTCCTGGTGGAATGACCTGCCCAACTCAATCCAAGCAGCCTAGTCCTTAATCATTTTCAAGAAACAGCTGAAAACACATCTCTTTCATCTTCATTTGACCTTCTAACTCTAGTACTCTATTATAATGCTAATTCTAATTTTATCTGCTTGTTTTTTTTTAAATTAAAACTCTAACATTTGCACTCTCTATTCTTTTTCTATTCTTTCTACTTATTTTCTATTTATTATAAATAATGACCTTCTAACACAAGCATTATCTATTCTTTTTCTGTTCTATTGACTTGTTTTATTTTTATTTAAAAATGACCCTCTAACACTAGCATTCCCTATTCTATCTACTTGTTTTCGTTTTATTATAAAAACTTTTAAGAAAGAATTAAGAAAACAGCGCGCAGGGCTTTAATACAAAAACGCACACAACAGCCTGCATTTCAATGTTGATTCACCGGTGAATCAATGTCGGGTACCATGGTTGAATCAACATTGGATTAGGTTTCGATTTTGCAAATTGGATCAATGTTGATATTGTGACATTGTTTCACCGTTGAAATCATGACATTGTTTTACCGTTGAAATCGCGATGTTGTTTCACTGTCTTACCTTCAGCATGGGTGAATTAAGGTCGTTCTGTAGATGTTGGATCAACATTGAATTAGCTGTTGATTTTGCAAATTGAATCAACGTTGATAACGCGACGTTGTTTCACCGTTGTACTTTCAACATGGGTGAATACACAACTGTACGTTCAATTAGAACCTAGTTTGCACTTAGCCTAGATCAACACTGTAGGCTACTGTAACGTGGAGACGTGACAACAGGGTTGAGGATCCAATTGCAGGCTTTATTTAGAGCATAATCGGACAGGCAGGGTCAAAACACCAGCAAAACAGTACATCCAGGGTAATCCAAAGAACAGGCAGTCAACGATCACAAACCAGGTAAACAGTCCAAGAACAAAACACGAAGGCAAGGCAAGACATGGCAGAACTAGACAACATAGGCTAAACAATAATCAGCAATGTGTGTCTTCTTCTTCTTTTTGTTCAATGGCCGTTTACTCCTTAGGAGTATTACCGCCACCTACTGTATATCTTAAGCACATGAGTGATGAATCTGTACTGAAGGAAAAAAAAAAAAAAAAAAAATTTTGTAATGCCCCACCCACCCCAGAGGATCAGAGCCCAAGCTTCAGCTGGCGCTGCGTGTTCAGCTCCTCCAGCTTCCACACTGTGCTCCTCAACCTCCGAGATGGGCAGAAGCATCATGATCCTCATCCTCAAACACTAAATCCTGTGGTCTAATCCTGTGAGCTCTAAAAATGTTAAAACCACCTTAAACATCTGACTCAAACCCTTTCCCAGAAGGTCCACGACACTCACTGGTCTGTTCCTTATATTGCTAAAAAGACTGTTACGCTGATCTTCATATTTACTACATTTAAAGAGCACATGCTCTACTGTTTCAAAAACATCACATTCATCACACATACCATTTTCATGCTTCCCCATTAATGCAAGTGTTTGGATTTAGTCCTGTGTGACCCATCCTTAATCTAGAAATCATTACTTCTTCCTTTCGGTGTCTTCCATAAAACTGTTCTTTTTTCCCTACTGATTTTACAATATTATAATACCACCTACCTGTGCTGCTATTTTCCCATCTTTGTTGCCATATTCTTATTATTTCCCTATTAATTACTGATTTTATCTCATTCCTTCCCAGAGGTACCTTAACATCCACCAAGTTTTTCTTTAAAGCTTCTTTTGCTAACTTATCCGCTGTTTCATTCCCTACTATCCCAGTATGTGCCGGTACCCAACAAAAGTATACGATTATACCGTTTTCAGTCTGTACAGTAATGTATATATTTCTACTAGCAGGTCTTCTCTATCAGTTTTTGTCGACAATATACTTTTAAGAGCTGATGAAGAATCTGAGCAAATTACAGTCAGAGTCCTATTTGGCTTAATCTGTTCTACCCACTGCAATCCTATTATTATAGCAGTTAATTCTGTAGAATATACGGACAAATTTGTCACTTAACCTTAAACTTATTTTCATCTTAAATCTTGGAATGTACACTCCTACGCCCAGCAATGTGTGTGTGTGGATGAGTGCAACCTTTATAGTGTCACTGATGGGAAACAGGTGTGGTGTGATAATGAGTTCCTAGGCAGGGGTTATGGGAAATGGAGTCTGGAGAAAACAACGACGAGACCGACTATCGTGACAGCTACATACATAAAGGTTAAAAATCAAATGACTGGCAGCAATGGCTTTACAATCAACTTCAATAAACTACCACATGTTCAATATTGTAAAACAAGTTTTATTTTGGAAACATACTATATAAAACACATGGAAATAATCTTAAACTTTAGTTTGCAGTGTTTGTGCTTGGATGTATTGTTCAAAACCTGTAGAACTGGCAGCAATGGCTTTACAATAAACTTCAATAAACTACTCAAAATTGTAAAACAGCAGTTTTATTTTGAAAACATACTGTATAAAACACATGAAAATAATCTAGTTTCTGTGAAATAAGTTTTACTAATGTATCTTATTACAAGAGATTTGTACATGTGTGGAGTAAAAAATGTGTTGAACAGTTCGAGAATGGAACCTGCAACAGAAAGCATGTCGGTGGTAAAGGGGTATAGGAGCATGTGACCACCTGTCTTGATTTTTGTCGACAGCCAGAGGCAGCACTAAATTTGACAGAGACAGTCGCCTTGAAATTCTTTATGCAGGAAAAACCCTGCCTTGAATGAAATGCATTTAATATTTTAAGTATAAAATGTTTCTTCAAATTCTGATAAAATGTTAGAACCAACAGCCTTGTGCATATTGCGTGGTTGTACTTCGGGTGATCCTTGAAAGTGTCCCAGCTCTAGGTCCTTTTTCTGATGCCGTCCCCTCCTCTCTCTCGCACTTGTGCGCTTTCTGTACTGTCCTGTATAAATAAAAACAAAAACACCAAAAATAAATGCTCATAAAATATCAACTTTGATATTGTGAAATATCTTTTATTGAAAACTGAATGCAAAACAAATCACATACAATATTTTCACTTTACTGTTCAATAACAGTGGGGTTGGAAACAAAGTGCACAACACTATTCATTAAACACCTATTTAATGTATTCAGATGAAAGTTTACTTGCAATATTAACAAATTCTTTACAAGCAGTTTTTCAGATCCCCCAGTTACACTGTTTTAATTAGAATCCTAACTATACAGTGTACTTAGTACAACAAGTAAAATCAAATTAAGTACATTTTTATTAAACTAAGTAAAATCAAAACCTATCAAAAAAGGTCAACGAATCTCTAACTTACCAGAAGTGACAGTGCAATGTAGCAGATGAACAATTCCTTACCAAATTGCCAATAATAAGCTGGATCCTTGATGGTTCTACAAGGGGAAAGCAGAAATGGTTTACTGAAAAGTTCTTAAAAAGCAAGATTTCGTTTTATAACATTCATTTAAACAATCTTAATTCATTTAAATTGTACCGACATTTGCCATTTTATGATATTCAGAAAACACGAACGGAGTATGTTATCTTTGAGACTATTATACGATTAAAAATATAACACACCTAATGTATGGCATTCACATCAGAAAAATGTGAAAAATCTCTCAAATTAACACATAATTTACCAGCAACACACAACAACATCAGATGAGCATCTAACTTTAGCATCTGTGATAAAGCAATAGAAAAATACACAACCACACACACACACACACACACACACACACACACACACACACACACACACACACAGGTACCCTAAAATGTTAGAACCAACAGCCTTGTGCATGTAGCGTGGTTGTGCTTCGGGTGATCCTTGAAAGAGTCCCAGTCCTTTCTGACGCCGTCCCCTCCACTCTCTCACACGTGTGCACTTTCTGTATGGTCCTGTATAAATACAAACAAAAACACCAAAAATAAATCCTCATAAAATATCAACTTTGATACTGTGAAATATCTTTAACTGAATGCAAAACAAATCACATACAATATTTTCACTTTACAGTTCAATAACAGTGGGGTTGGAAACAAATTAATTAAACACTTATTTAATGTATTCAGATGAAAGTTTACAATATTAAATTATTCACAAGCAGTTTTTTCAGAGCCCCCAGTTACACTGTTTTAATCAGAATCCTAACTATACGGTGTATTTAGTAAAACAAGTCAAATCAAATTAAGTACATGTTTATTAAAGTAAGTAAAACCAAAACCCATCACAGAAGGTCAATGAATCTCTACCAGAAGTGACAGTGCAATGTAGCAGATGAACAATTGCTTACCAATTTGCCAATAATAAGCTGGATCCTTGATGACTCTACAAGGGGAAAGAAGAAATGGTTTACTGAAAAGTTCTTAAAAAGCAAGATTTCGTTTTATAACATTCATTTAAACAATCTTAATTCATTTAAATTGTACCGACATTTGCCATTTTATGATATTCAGAAAACACGAACGGAGTATGTTATCTTTGAGACTATTATACGATTAAAAATATAACACACCTAATGTATGGCATTCACATCAGAAAAATGTGAAAAATCTCTCAAATTAACACATAATTTACCAGCAACACACAACAACATCAGATGAGCATCTAACTTTAGCATCTATGATAAAGCAATACAAAAATACACACACACAGGTATTTATCTTCTGCAGGTTACATGTCCTTTACCCATTTGTAAACTCTGGTAACGTTATACTTTACTATTTTTGAAAGGTAATAAAGATAGCGATTTTCTTACCTGAATTTTCCCGTATGTTTGCAGAACCTCGTAGATCACATCTGACCCTTCCTGTGTTCACATTCCAGTTTTTGTTCTCCACTGACATGTCACGACTCAAATTCGCTCGAAATAAACATTTAACAGGCAAATATAAAATAATTCTGGACCGGCCGAGCAATCTCAACGAGCAGCAGCTCCCACTCAGCCGCATCACTCAGAAAGACGATAACGGTCATATTTTCAAATTTAGAAAGGCGCGCACAGTTTCATTGGCCAGTTTCCTGGATGACAGCCAGATTAACCAATCACGATCAAAGAAATAAGGTAAAACAACCAATAGGGAATTGTTTCGGCGTGGTAACGCAGCGAAATGTATTTAGTTTTATTGTTGCTAATGATGATAATATTTTAACATATACCTAGATTTTAGAATAGGTTTCATTATCAAAATATTGTAAAATGCTAATAAAATCATAATATTGAGCTTAATAATAATTTAAAAATTAGAAATGATTTTGTATGCCGTTGAAGACATGTGATTCAACGTACAGATCTTGTAAAAAAAAAATCAACGTTGATTTGTTTTTGTTAACCTTTTTCAACCATTTAGCACTGAACATTATTTCAACGTTATTTCAACGTTGAAGCAAGAACTGACCTTATTTCAACCATATTTCAACATTGAAGGTCTGTCATGTGCCGGCTGCGAATGAATGGCGACTGTAAAAAAAAAACAAAAGCCGAATCCCAGACATTTTGGGCGATTTAGAAATCCCGGCCGGACGCATTTTTTATGTCCGGGGAAAAGAGGACGTATGGTCACCCTACGATAGTGTAACAATGAACGAAGCACAGCTCTCACAGAAGTCATTTTCAAACTATGCAGCTTTCTGTTGGTCATCAGTGAATTTGTGTAACAAACTATATATCATCTGCGAAATTTTAATGAATAACATTAAGTGTAACCACACCTTATCACGCTTATAGGGACGTCACAGCAAGTTGAATAGCATTTCTAACCAGCATGCACCTGGCAGTGATCAGTAATCACGTAGTTTACTAATCTCAAACAAGCCCATTTTCAGGTCCATCTCATGTGCAATGACTGCCATGAGCACAGCAGGCCAAACTCCACTCCGAGAGCCCATTCTCGGATCAACGACATTCTCGGGGTCACACAGAGCAGGAAAACCAGAGACTGAGAAGTTTACGGATGATTTGAGTGAAGAGACAAACAAAAGGACATAGAGAGAGCAAGAGAGAAGGAGAAAGATCATTAGAGCTTCTGGAAACGGTTCAAGTCATTCTCATGTACGAGAGGTATCCAGAGGGACTGTTGTGTGGGCCTTGGCAACAGCGGTTCCCCCGGATCTGCAGGTGGGTTTTACTTCAGTCTCTATCAGTCTCCATGGGTAACACACTCAAAAACCATATTGTTTTCTCGTCTTTTCAAGGGTGCGTTGTGGAAAAAGTTTCAAATTCGAAGGCCGCTTCATTCATGATTTATGTCACATTTGATGCTAGTTTAATATCAAATACAAATACATCTTGCACTAGTACAGTGTAAAACCCTCTCCAGACGAAAAGGAAATATGGAGCAGGGGTTGGTAGGGGTCACAGGTCTGGGGAATTGAGGGCCTGCGGCCTAGTTGACAGGGGAAAATATTTTGTAATCTCCAGGGTGCAGCTCGTTCAAATTCAGCACTGGTTTTGCTTTACTCCCAGGACAAGAATTTGGCTTCGATTTCAATAGCTTTTCCAGATGTTCATTTTGCTATTTTTTTTTACTCTTTTCCCCTTTTTTTTCAGTGCAGTCCATTTTGAATTTTTGAATACCACAATTAACATTCATAAATCACGTCAGGGACACTTCCCCTTCAATCACAGGGGAATGTTATGGGAAGGTACGATAACTCACAGCAAAGTGAAGGCTTATGAAAAATCTTATGAAAAAGTGCCTTGATTTGGCCAAACAATACATTACAGATAGGAATAATTATTGATTGGTTAACTTGGGAAGACAAACCCATGTTAATCATCCAAAAACACCCCATCTGAACTCAAAACAAATACAAACCACAGAAACACCTCAACGTCAACATGAAAAAGTTGCTTTCTGATTAAAACTCATAAGGAAGGAAATTAAACAGTACATTGATATATATTCAATGCACTTTGTTTCAATATTTGTCTCAACACAAGTGCTGTCACACATGGATGGAGGCAGAAGAACAAGAGGGGAACATGATACCTCGGGGAGTGCGGCACACGACCCTGAGATGACCCTGACATAACCGTGGTGAGTGAGAGACAGAACACAGAGTCTCAGAACACACTTACAGGTCAGCCGCTAACACAGCTTAAACAATCATTCAACCCCACGGCTTTCTCTGCGACTTCTCTCTCTCGCTCTGCCTCCCTGTGTTTTCCTCCATTTCTTTTTTGCTGCTGTCTTCTGGGGCTCCATGTTGTCAGCACCAGCAGTTTCTACCAGGTAATTGATGGGTGTAGAAAAATACGTTCTAATTTCACCCCATCAGCTCCTCCATGTTTCTGTTGACAATAACTCATATGCATGCTACATTCATACTCACAACAATTAGACATCCATCTTGTCCTTTCTTTCTTTCTTTCTTATTTTTTTTATTCTACTTGTGTGAAAAAGGCAACATTGTAAAATAGAGACAAAAATTAAGTACTTTTTAGAAGTACTGATCATTTTTAATATTGTTTTAGTGCTCTCAAAATGGCATTGCTCTTTCAGTGTTCTGGATATTTAATGCAGTTGCTTTACTCAAGTATAAAAAAAAATGGAACTTTAAAATGTGGATTTTATACCTCAGATGTTTTGGTCTTCAAAGATGATGAGAAAAAGATGAGTTCATGTTGAAATTTGACCGCAGACTTCGGCATATCGGCAATTTTGCACACAGTTTTAGACATTGCTGAGATATCTTTGTGAAACTCTAGAGGAAACATCTGTGAGATTACTAGGGTCTTTTTCTGAAAGGGAAACATTTTGTGGATGACAATGGTGGATTTTTGCAGAAACTATGTTTACCACTGTAAATTTTCATATCCCTTTTAAGGGTGGATAAACAAGCACAAACAGTGATGATGTTCCTGATGACATTTTAGATTTTCTTGATCGTCTGTGAAGACCTAGACATAAAACTAAGGAACCTCCCGAATCCCTCGCGCTGAGAATTGACAACAATCCTTTCAGCCAAACTCACAACAGATTAAATAATGCATGACAGACGCTGTATTCATGCTCTCTCTCAGCTCTATCACTCTGACCTGTCGGATTGTCTCAGGACACTTACCAGAGGCTGAAAGAGAGCCAACACTCTTTATGTAGTCAGTTTGGAGTGAATTACATGCAGAATGGCAAAGAGGTGATTATTTTTTAGCTGTTGGCCTTCGAGGTGAGCAGGGAGAACTTGCTGATAGCCAAACAACTTCATCTGCTTACATGATTATAATTGCTGCATGTGGGACCGCGAACGGTGATGCAGACTCCCCCTCCTCTGCAATGCCCTGGGTAATACACACCGCTGGCAAATGATTGGAGAGAGAGAGAGCAAAATGTTATCATTAACGGCTCATGTTGCATGTAAAGACAGGAAATATTAAAATAAATAAAAAGTAGAATGCATAATCTACATAGAGATTTTAATCAAAATAATTAGCCTGGCCACTACAGGGACCTGTTTTGACCTTTGTGTATTAGAGCGATTAAAACCTCACCTGTGTGCTGAATCTGAACCAATACGCCTGCAGATACAAGTCGAGGGAATAAAATACCACTATGGCTTTTGTGCAACAGTGATTGCTTTTGACAGAAAGACATGGCTAGCATATCAGAGCGGTGCACACTTAGTTATAGCTAATCTGTAAATGACTGCCATTTAAACTCAAGCGTTGTACTATGGGCATTGTGTTAATGCTGCTGTCTGCAAGTGTATAAGTGTGTGTTTTTCTCACAAGCAATACATATGTACATAAATTCTGTCTTTGTCAGTATCACTGACACTTGTGTATGCCAAGAGGGATTTGCTCCTCAAAGTGCTTTATAACATTACACATCTGTTTAATCAGCAGCTACTTCATGGCTAATACAGTTAAACCTGCTGTGAGATTCATTTAACTTTAACACTAAAGAATAGTTAAGCCAAAAATGAAAATTTTAACCTGACTTTTTCCTATGCTGATTGATGATGTTTGGTCCCTTTTTTGATATTTGGGTTTAAAACGAGAGCAAACAACTTTTATAAATCAAACTTTTTCCGATAATGTTTTTTGTTTTTATATGCTTATATTTTTCACTTTTATCTGCCATTATACTGTTGATTTTGAATTTAACTGTTAGATTAAAATTGCAAACATTTAAAGGAACAGTTCCAAACATATAAGCATCATTATTTGTTCCACGGAACACAAAAGGAGAATTTTTTAAAAATGTGAATGGGATTTAAATTTTTTAGACTGACCTAAATTTGAAGTCATTTCCTTACATTAAAGTATTATAGGACATTAGAAGTCTTGAAATATTCTAATAAAAGTCTAATATTCTATAAAAGTCTTACGGACTAGTTTATGGTGCTTCGCCTGTTGATTTTCATCTGTCTTAAAGGGGTCATATGATGCTGCTAAAAAGAACGTCTCTAGGTTACGTTGAGAGCGTCGCCCCGACCCCCGATCTTTCTGTGGAGGGGTGCGGGTTGCAACGCTCTGTTCTTGAGACTGGAGATATGAGGAGCTTGACGGTTTGGGCTGCTCCCGCTCAGCAGCCCCCCTAAGCAGGTCAGCCTGGTATGGAAAAATGGAAGGCCCCATTGTGAAGGCTGTGATCTGGATTTCAGAAAACGCTCGTCTAATTACTTTTAGGACGAACGTCCTGTCTCTCGGCTGGCCAAACGATATTTTATTTTGTCTACTGCCCGAATCACACCTCATACGCGAGGGACTGTGGTGGCGAGTCCACAGTCTCCTCTGTCAACCGAGAACCGTTTCTTTCGGACACGTCCGATTTGAGAACCGATGAGCTGATGATACTGCGCATGCGTGATTCAGTGTGAAGCTACCGAACAGTAGCGAACAGTAACTACTATGACTGACACACACAGCACGTATGAAGCGAACTGGTTCTTTTGGACAACTGATTCTGTGCTAATGCTATGAGCGCGGGTAAACCGAAGACTTGAATGAAGGGCAATCTGGCGAAACGTACGTTTATTTAATAACAAATAAATCGCAATGGATTATGTATAGTAAGTGGATTATGGTTTCTGCGCTGATGACAACTAATTTATTTACTTTATATCTTCAAGACTTAAATCCTCGTATGCACATCACTGCCTGTTACTGTATTTGGGTGCTTAGCTGCAAAACTTAATTGTAAACTTTTCAGATCATGATTATGATGTTTTAACTGACTGAAGTTATGATTACTGACTTTATATATTTGAATGTGTATTTTCATCCAGGCCTGGGACGATAGACTTGATATAATTACGTCATCGCGAATGACGTCATTACATTAGGGCATAAAAGAACCGATGAACCGGTTTTTTTAACCGGTTCATTGAAACGAACTGTCCGAAAGAACCGGTTCGCGGAAAAGAACCGGACTTCCCATCACTACAGCATTCCTGTTAGGAACAATATTAGGGTGAGCAAATAATGACAGAATTAGAATTTTTTAATTTTGAAGTACTCCTTTAAATGACTAACTGCAATTTGAAAATTGTCCAAACCTAATACTAAATCAGCAAATAAAGCTAAAGAAATAGATCAAGTGTGGGGTTGTGAAAAGTTCTATGGTTTTACTCCTAAACTGTGAGCAGATATCAAAAAAGAGATTTTCAAACAGACCATCGATCAATGTGTAGGAAAAAGTCATGATCCTTCTGGTGGGAAGAAATGAACCACCCAAAAGCACCAAGAAAACAGTTACTCACTGAGAGTACTTCAACATACACAATTGTGCTTAAGAAAATCATTTCACCACAAGTTTATTCAATTATTTGTCATTATATTAATTAGGAATGTGTGAAACAGCAAGGGAGTTGTGGTAGCCTGTATTGTTTAAAGGAATAGTTCACCCAAAAATGATTCCGTCATCATTTATTCAACCCTCATGTTGTTCCAAACCCATATAACTTTCTTTCTTCTATGTCAGAACTATCTCTGAATTGTTATTTCTAAGGCTGTGGGTTCAACCTCAAGCACTGGTGACCTTAAAGTTGTGCCTCTGTGTTTAATGACTAGTTGCTCCAGGACACAATCCTCAACAAGGGAGATGTACTGACCTAATGGTAAAGGACTTGGATTACAGCCACAAAGACTGCAAGTTCAATCCCAAGTACGGTTGGCCCAGATATTGCTTTAGAAAGAGTCATTTAACCATTGGTCGCTCCAGGGCAATGTCCCTTCAAAAAAAAAAAAAAGAGCTGTCGTAATTTAATTGTTAAGGATCTAGGCTGACACCACAAAAGTTTCATTGTCAATCCCAGGTAAGGATGACCTAGAAACTTCAAGTTATGAGGCTAAATTTAACATTTTCCTCCATCACTATTTTGAGCTGACATCATTATAGTCATCATTATAGTGCAGGCGAGCGTGTGTGCTGATACAATGGGTTACCTGATCTGGGTGTGGGAAAAAATGGCATCTTAATCTTAGATCCCAAAGCACTTAAAGGGGTCACACACACAAGAAATCTAAACATAATACATAAAATAATTAATAATAATAATTAAATAAATATATATTAAAATGACAAAAACACTTAAAATATAAAATATTTGACCTCTCTTTGACCTGGTGTGGGTTTGCTGACAAGTCCAATATAGTTTTTATCTACACATTAGTCAAGAACAGTCTCTTTGCAAAACCTGAATAATATTGTAAAAGGTTCACAAAACAATCAATGCTGAAATGTGCAGCTGAATCCATCAAGGTCGGATTAAAATGATATGGGATCTAGCTAAAAATAAACTTCAGCCACTCAATGTTAGGATTCTTCAAGAACAGCACAACTATAATCATTTCTTGTGTTGTTTAGGATTAATAGTATCCTGCTTGTCATTTCACTGTAAAGGGATTAGACAGTTTATTAACACTGAATAGTTACTGCTGACACATTAATGTGTTCATCATTCTGACATCAGACAGTTGTGGAATTATAAAATAAACCCAAAAACTAAACCAGCAGCAAATACCATTTGATTTGTTCTAACTTCTTGACTGGTCGCTTGCGAGTTTGAATCTTGTCTGTGTTTGCATTTAAATTAG